TTTATTTCACCAGCGACCTTTTAAAATTACATAAACTTAATACTACTCATCAAAAGTGTAAATTTTCATTTCATTTTTCGTTTCACCTTTTGAAAGTGATGTCTGAAGATCCAGAGTACTTTAAAAGGTCTCTGGTGATTATTTATTTATATATATTGAAAGGAAATCTCTTAATCCGACATTATTTCTTATTATAAATGTTATTTTCAATGGGTTATACATGTTTGAGTTGTTATACTTATTTTCTTTGATTTGCTTTTTTAACCAATGAAATTAATAACAACTTGGCCGGCACTTCTCGATCTAAGCCTGTTGTTATTAATTTCACTGAAAAGAAAAATAGGGAGACCATCTCAAACACGTGTATTCACTGAAAGAAAAATATTCATAGTAATATATATATATATATAAGAACAATCAGTTAAATTGCCCATGTTATAATAAGAGTCTTACAGTTACAATTAAATTTTCCATTGAATAATAAGTGTCTTAAAGAATCTATAGTTTATCAGTGTAATATTTCCTCTATTGAAAATCCAGATATTAAAAAATTTATATTGGTAGCACTAAAAATGATTTTAAATTAAGATGGTACCAGCACCTATCTTCCTTCAAAAACAATGAGCATCGTAACCAAACATCCCTATTTAAATTTTTTTGGCATTTAAAAGAAACAAAACCCCGACAGTGTAATAGAAATTATTTAAAAAAAAAAAAACGAGAACTTGTAGGTCTTTAAATGACCCATGTCCTTTGTGCCTACATGAAAAGTTATATATTATTTATTTTCTTAAAAATAAAGATTTATTAAATCAACGAAAAGAAATAACTGTCTTTTGCAGGCATTGCATTATGTTCACTTTAAATCATAATTAATAAAACTTTCATAATTATATATAATGTTATAAAAAATGTATACTTAATTCCTAAATTTTAATTTTAACAATACCATATCTAAAGTAGTATTAAATATAATAATATAGCATTTTAGATCTTTATAATTAAAAATATAAATATATAAAATACGATTTAATCATATTTGAAGTCCCTTTAAGACAGCCCCAATGTACTTGAAAAAAAAAAAAAAAAAAATGTCAAAATTAACCCGTGGTTCGATACAAATAACTACTTGTATTTTTAATATATCTTATATATGTTCCCCAAAAGGTAGACAGGATGACACGTCTCATACACGAAAGCCTGTATCGGCATGCAGAAATTACATACCCACACCAAACCTTTAGCCTACATTTTTCACTTTTCCATCTTAGATTAGACCTCTTTCCTGATTCGTCATTAATTTAAAATTTTGAAATCTCACCCCCCTCCACCAATTTAAACCCTTAAATATGATATTACTTTGCTTAAAAGAAAGTAAATCATTTTTTCTGGTTATCACTTGAAAATGGAACAAAAGTTTTATTTTAACTTTTAGTTCCGAAGCATAGTAATTTCTGTTTCGCGAAGAAAACATATTTTTAAATTATATATATATATATATATATTGGCATCCAAAAGAATGATAAAATAAGGAACAAATAGCAAACGTTTATAAATCTAAAAAGGTTTCACTTTTATTAAAGCTTCACCAGAAAATTATATTTTCGTTTTCTCTTCCATATTTCATTCTCTGATGAAGTTTTAATAAAAGCGAAACATATTGAATTCATAAAGGTTTTCTATCTGTTTCTTATAACGCGCACGCACGCACACACACACCCAGTATAATCATTACCTAGATCCGCTACTCAGAGTTTCACATAACAACAATCACGAGACGGATTATGCTATTGATATTATTATTAGATTATATTTAGGCTCTATTGACTTTGGCATTGAGTCCTCAATTTATTTTATATTTTAAGCTTTTAGCTTTTATTCTTACTATTTGGGTATATACATGGGATTAATAACTTCCATAATTACAATAGCCATTACAATGTCATAGGTGCTTATGGCAAAAAAAAAAAATGTATCTTTTGTTCTTGTGTGAACAAGAAAAAAACGCACACAAACAAACCTCTCTTTCACACACAAATCTGTAGAACATGAAAGTTAGGATTAAGACCATAAAAAAAAAAAACTCAATAAGTCCGTAGTCCAATGATAAAAAAAGCATTTATTATACTCAAAAAATATTTTTTCAACCATCTTCTTCGTTATCAATTTGATTCTGCTGTGAATATTTTCAGTCGAGGTTCGGGTTAATGATCTATCCTCGTACTCTTGAAACTATGCCAAAAACTATAAAAGTACATTTGGGGGTATTGGAGATCTGAAACAGGATTGAAACTGTTTACACCAAAGCAGTACTTGGGTTTACGAGGATATTCCTAGAGACTTTAGGTGAGAGTTGATGTCAGTCAGTCCCCAGCGACAACAAGCAGACATCTCGTATCCATGCGCAAATACATTAAATCAATTTTCATTTGATTATGAAAGTGAAAGAATAAATGAATAAAAAAAAAAATAGAGGAATTTATACATTACCTGAAGTTAGTTCAGTTTTCAATGAGAAATTTGGGGCTTACCTAAAAAAGATAAAAAGATTAATTAGCTCCAACGGCCTATACAATGGGTCACTTGAAATTTACAGTTCTATTTCTTGGAACATTTAAGTGGGTGAAGGAATAGAAAGGATAAAAAATATTATTCCACTTTCGAAGTGCTGTTATCTGCATGATGGATCATTTTTAATACTTTTCGTTATTCTGAGTCTGATAAAAAAGAATCGGGATTGTTGCTATGGAAACGGAGCGGAGTGAAGCCGTTTGGCACGGATAGACTGTGAACCCTTTCGCGCATGCACACTAAATTTTAATATTGCTTGGAAGGAAAGTGTGTAGAGTGTGGTCGCCTCACAACACCGCAGAGGTTTCATCAGTGACTATGGCTTGTGTAGCAGGTCTTGGCCAATGACAACATTCCCCAGGTCAAACAAACACCAGATTTCCCCAGATTTCGCCCCCATGCGACATTTTTACTATTCAAAAATCAAATCCCACAAGATTTCAAGACATCGAGGAAATCCAAGAGAATGTGACGAAAGAGTTCCAGGAATGCTTCCATCAGTAGAAACGACGCTGGATAAAGTGCGTGGCTTCAGGAAAGGGCTACTTCGAAGAAGATTAAATGCCGAATTGATATATGTTGTAGTTTTCTTTTTATAGCACCAGTACCGATACTTTTTGATCAGGCCTAGTATATCAAGATGACCATTTCTAGCACAGAAAACTATGATCTAGAATTTGAATGAAAATAATGATGGCACCTACCCTGAATCCATCATAAAAATTCAGAATATGGAATTAGTAAATACTAAATACTTCAAATACCTCCGTTTATTGATCATTTATAAGAAATTATATATATATATATATATATATATATATATTACTGATTATAAAACGCAGATTGTGTGTGTGTGTGTGTCTGTATGTTTATATATTGGATCGGATTTCCTACATTTTTCAACAGATTTCAACAAAACTTCACAGGACTACGTAAAATTACCTTGCGGTGGTTCTGACAGCGCCAAAAATTGGAAAAACACAATTGTTTTTGCACGAAATCAATTTGAAAACACGATAAAACACGATTCTGTCGCCAGAATGAAAGGGGGACAACTCATATCGAGTTATACTTATAAAACCTAGGTTGTGTGTGTGTGTGTGTGTGTGTGTGTGTGTGTGTGTTCGTTTATATATGGGATCGGATTTCCTACATTTTTCAACCAATTTCAACAAAACTTCACTTTTTTTGGCAGGCAGTGTTTCTTATTGTCTTGCACACTTTTTTCTTTATTTTTACATTCAGAATGCTTTAAAAATTTCATTTACAAGACAATTGTTTATAATAAAATTCTATTCAATCGGTAGACTCATAACGATTGAAAACAATGTTTTGTTTGAGTTTGGGTTTGACCATTTCGTAAAAAAAAACAAAAAAATAATTAAGACATGCGTGTCCGTCAACCTTAAACAATAATCTTTGTCAATTTTATTTTTCAGTCTTTATGATGGTCGATACTTGATCTATCTCCTACTGTTAGATCCCCGGGCAACGCCGGGCTCTACTGCTAGTGTATATAACTGGTCACTTGTATTCGAGGATAGCCGTCTATTAGGGAAGCTAGCTAATCGCTATTGCCGACGCTCGCTCAGGCACATTTGTATTTCTTCAACACTCACAACTGCAACTATGCTGAGCAGACCTTTGTTACAGTTTCTGGAAGAGAGCGTGTTATCTAGTGTGAACAACAATCTGAACAAGGCCAGCCCACTCAAACCCTCAGTCACGATGTCAGCTATCGAAGGCCCCCAAGGGTTCTGTCTACCCAATTTCACTCACAAGGCTTTGTATGGTTTTTAGGTACTTTTCAAAGGTGCAGCACTAACACCTTTATCCACTGTGCCATGTGTCTCGAGGCGTTAGTTAGATCCAGTGACTGGACCCAAAACCAATACCTGGTTAAGGCGGTGGAGAACTTGGAGTGGGGAATTAACAGGAGATAACTGATAACTGACATCCATTAGACATGGCACGTGGAACTAGGACAGTCTACCCCAGTGTGCGAAATAAAGAGATCAGTTCGACATTCCAAATACCTGACGAAGGCCGGAGCGTACAACGGCTGAAACGTTGTGATAAATATGGCAACAAAGATGAGGACGATAGTCCGAACAATGTAAATAGAATACATAACCAGTTCACTGCCTTTAACTAACCTTAACCCTAACATATTTCATACTTCCAACAGTTGGTAAATAAATATCATACCAAAGTAGAAAATGAATAGTAGATATCATACTATAGTAGCACCAATTAGGTTTATCCATCAGTACACACGTTGAACCCAAAAGAGAAATAGATAAATCTGGCATGGCAGATCACATATAGACGGCGAAAGACGAGCAGTAGAAGAAATAGTACACGAATTTAAATCAAACTGTGTTGCTTTTGTTGCTCAGTAGGAACAAGGTGTAGAATTCTTTATTTACGATAGGAATCAAGAACATCGTACGTTTTTTATTATTTTTTATTATCTAACAAGAGTTGATATATCATAAATGCATATTATACATAGTTGGAAATAGAATAACATATATATCACTCCTTATACATGTATGTATCTCACCCTGATTTTTTTACAGTGATTTTCACTCTGACATCCACTCGAGGTAGAGCTTCACAGAGTAAGAGGCACAATTCATGGAGATGTGAGGGGAAGACCCTAGACTTGATCAGGTTAAGACTGTAGTGATTGGTGAGGGAGCCTCTTGAGAGTCGGTTACACAAAGCAGCGGTTCGTCGGTAGAAGTGCTCGATTGGAACTTATGTCTTCCTAATAAAATATGAAAGGAATGAGAGTGGTTTCCTAGAATGTGCGTGGTGTGGCGGGTCTTAATCGTGACGTTTAGAACTGGTGGAACTAAGGAATGTTTATGCCGGAATAGACTTTATACTGTGTTTTTCAAAGAAGATAAGTGCAGAGGTAACCTGAGGTAGGCTGCTGAATGCTGGAAGTGGACCCAGCTGAACCTGGAATACACGCGTGTGAAAGAACTTCATGACAGACATATAAACACCCACCCTAGAGAGACGAGGAGACGTCGCACACGATAAAGTAAGGTTCAGACAATAATTGAAGTCCGCTGTTGAATAAAATGCGGTGTGTTACATATGAGAGAGGGCTTTGAGGGTTCTCATTTGTAAATCTACAACGGCACAAAATTACATCTGTTTCTACCTTTTTCTTCGCCTCTGTGCGTATCAAAAACAAAATCGGGCTTAAAATGTCATGACGTTTATTTATTCAGTCGTTTTTTTCTGTTGGTGAGGCTATAGAGTAAAAATAGGCTAACATTAAGAGAAAAAAAGAGTAATCGGATAACCCACCACCGCCCCATTATCAGGCGTTGCCGTCAAAAGGCAAAAAAAATGTACAAGCGGTCAAAGGTATCGAATTCTTACTCGAAGTCGAGCGGATATTCTCAGAGTTTTGAATAATTAGTCAATAAAATTTGTGCGGTGAGTGGGACAGGTGGAGGCACGGCAGAGTAATGATTGGCGGCGCTGAGTTCGAATTCTAGTCAAGTTCATTACATTCTACATATGTGTTAATACGTCAGCCCGTGGGAGCAGTTCATCTAAGAGAAGGAAAACTCTGATTTTAAACCCACGCTGCCTTACGGTCATACTCAATTATAGGAAAAGCTTCGGGAGTAAACCCTGAGGACAAATCCGAAGTCCGCCGAAATTCAAATTACAAGTTGGTGTCTGCCGCGGGATAATTCACTTCATGGCTTTGAGTGGCAGTCTTTCTGATATCTCGACAAAAACACCCGGATGTAGGTTTGGCATCCCACATTTTGTATCAGCTGCCGAAAGAACTGTTCCGACTAACAATAGGGAGGTCGAATGATGATGATGAATACCCTTGGGCAAAATATGAATCCATCAATTCTCTATGATTAAAATAGCAGGGCAGATTAGGCATTACAGCCTTGGGTGGCAACCAGCCGAGGAGAAGGAAACTCATAATTTAAACCAGCTTGCTGCCATGTTGGTCCTGCCTCTTTAAGGGAGAAGGTAACTTCAACAACAAGTCTACCTCGCAGAGAGAAGAGACGGTGTAACCTCAACATCTATGGTGAAAAAATGAACCAGCAAGGAATCACAACTGTAAGATGGAGGGGAGTGGTAATTACAGCGGCGCAAAATGCGCTAACTGAATAAAGGATGATGATGATGATGTGTAAGGGATGCCAACTGGAAGTTGAATCGGCGAATCGAGTTCAAATCCCGGGGTAGTCTATTGCGTTCACTTTCGCGCTAATACCCAGTGGGGAAAAACATGAATCTTTCTTTTTCCCAAGATATAACTTTTTGTAAGCATTTCACCCCAAGCAAGACGGGAGTGCCACTGGTTAGCAGGGGGTTACATAGAGTGAAGGTGAGAGAAAAAAAACTGTATAGGGGGAATGAGAAAAGGATAAAAGGTGAATGGCGGTTCAAAACATCAGAAGATGGTGATTGACGTTGTCTTTAAATTTTTGAAGATTGTAATTATCAGGGAAGCAAGTAAACGGAAGGTAGTTTCACAGGTGGGAAGTGCGGGAAAAAATTCTCGAGATGAAGTGTTAGGGAAGCATACTAGATATGGTGACAGTACTCAATGCACGCACGAAAAGTGCGATAAAAAAGCTGTTGGAGTAGAAGTGGCGGTTATATTTAACTATTTCAACGGCAAAAGGGTGGAACCTCGATGATAGACTAGTAGCGCGTTTAAATTTATGTAGACGGGGCACCAGGAAAAAAAAGCCCGACAGAACAATTGCCATGAAAATATTTGTAGAAGAGACAGAGGGAAGCCATATCACGTCTGTGAGAAAGTGACTGGAGTCGAGATGCCAAGTAATGATCAATTACATTGCAGTCCTTTCTTTGGATTTTGTCGAGGACCTCGAGATGAACACCTGGGGCACCGGATCATATACAGCATTAGTAATTAATTCACAGACGATATGTAGGGAGGACTATGGCGAGAAAAACTTCGCAAGACACAGTGGGTCAACTTTCCTTGCAGCAGATGCAGCTATTGATTCAATGTAGTTGTTCCACTTCAAGTCATTTGAAAGCGTAAGACGCAGTGAGACACTCTCCTGGAGTCTAGCATCAGCCATGCTAATGGCGGACAGGGAATTATCTATGAGAGCAGCTTTGTTTTGGAGGCATTAAAACTTACAAGCTATTTCCTACGCCAGTTAACCACTGATTGAATGTCATTTTCGAGAGCAGCGCTCAGGTTGACTTTGTCAACGCTGCCGGGTTTACTATTGAGACAGGAGTAAATGGTAGTGTTATCTGCCTAGATGCCGATTTGAGAACTGATGACATCAGGAAGATCATTGATGAAGATCAGAAACAGTGTAGGACCTAGGATAGAGATTATTAAACTGGAATCTGTAGCATTAGGTGGAAGCTAAACTAGAGAAAGAAAAATGACTTAAAAATCGTGGAGATGGCAACAGAAGACCGCTCACTCTCTTCCCCAAGAATGCGTAGAAATTTACTAACACGAGAGAAAAAAACGAAATTGTGGATAGTTGCTATCGCCTATGTATTGAAAGGACATGGAAAAAAACCCCAATAAAATCGGATTTTATTTGAAGGTGTGTTGTCGGGTTGATTAAAAGCGTGAGATCATTCCATTATTTTTAATTTTCTTTGTGCGTACCATTACTTTCAGCCTGCCTCACTTCTTCAAACTTATGAAGACAATTGTAAAAAAAAAAGTCATCAAATTCTTAGAGACGATTAAAAAGCAGGAAAAATTGGAATTTTGATTATCTGTGATGCTATGTTGTTAAACGAAACAGTTCTGCCAATTTTACATTATCTCTAATGTTGAAAATAAAAGTTGAAATCCACTTGGCACAGATTCATACCTCTTCCCCGGTAACAATTAAGCAATCGACGCGTTTGAATCAAATGTAGTCAGGGTTTAAAGTTTTCAGGCAGATAAGATTTTAAATTCCCAGTGAAACATGAAAATTTTATTAAAATCAAACCTCCTCGATGGCAATTCAGGCAGGACAATTTCCTAACAGATGAAGATTTGGGCCCATAACGAATTAAGTTTTCAGTTTTTGTGAACGAAGTTAGATAAACACTAGTACAAATCATTCATCGAGTTCGTTTTAAGTTACTAAGTACATGTCAACCTTGTTAGCTCTAAAATTGGCAAAAATTTGATGAGTTCAGTTGCGTCCGTTCGATAAACCAGACTTCACTAAATTTTGTTGGTAAAAAAAAAAAAAATAACAGCAACCCACACAAGTATGGTCCCTCTCTCTCTCTCTCTCTCTAGTCTTCTTTCTTTCTTTCTCTAGTCTTTCTTTCTCTCTCTAATCTTTTTTCTTTCTTTCTCTCTCTAATCTTTTTTCTTTCTTTCTCTCTCTAATCTTTTTTCTTTCTTTCTCTCTCTAATCTTTTTTCTTTCTTTCTCTCTCTAATCTTTTTTCTTTCTTTCTCTCTCTAATCTTTTTTCTTTCTTTCTTTCTCTCTCTAATCTTTTTTTCTTTCTTTCTTTCTTTTAATCTTTTTCTTTCTTTTCTCTCTAATCTTTTTTTTCTTTCTTTCTAGTCTTTCTTTCTTTCTCTTTTTTCTTTCTTTCTTTCTCTCTCTAATCTTTCTTTCTTTCTTTCTCTCTCTAATCTTTCTTTCTTTCTCTCTCTAGTCTTTCTTTCTTTCTCTCTCTAGTCTTTCTTTCTTTCTCTCTCTAGTCTTTCTTTCTTTCTCTCTCTAGTCTTTCTTTCTTTCTCTCTCTAGTCTTTCTTTCTTTCTCTCTCTAGTCTTCTTTCTTTCTTTCTCTCTCACTTTCTTCCGTCTACTTTCTTCCTCTTCAAAACTGGTAGGATTATTCATGGATGAAGTTTTGGACTGTGTTTTTTTTATCATTTCACTCCAAACAACGCGATAAAGCCACTAAGACACAAGGAGGAAAAAAAAGAAGAAAATAAATAGAAAAAGATTTTAAGATTAAAATCTATCATTTAATATGAAATTATGAGACAGGTGGTAGACTAAAATTCTGATTTAGTTTGAAAACGTGACACTGGTTAAACTTTTAAACACTTAACCTTACATTTAGCTTAAAATAGCAGCGTTTAAATTATTTTAAGTTTCAAAATACATTTAGATCAATCAATTCCTAAAAATTTTTTTATTGAAGCGGTGTAAAAGAGTAAAACTAAAGTAGGTATGTCCTTGCCACTTGTCACAATTGCCTAGATCTCCCCAGTGGTGTGCTACGTAAATAAATATCAATTTTTTTGGCACTGTCTTAAAAGACATTGCCAAAAATATCTGTATGCGACGCAAACAGGAAGAATTTGCGTAGGCTGGTATATATGAGCGGGCAAAAACGATGAGTAACGAACGAAGATGAGTTGGATTGGTTGACCGTCAACCCTTATTGGGATATTTAATGTCGAAATCAGCCAGTCAGTTATACAAGCACACACACACAATCACACGTATAACGGGTATCTACTAAAATAATGTTTGAAGTAATAAAAATATATCGGATTAAAAATAAATTCGTTATTTTTTTTTTTTTATAAAATGCTTTGTTTGTGATGCGAAATTGAACAGATATGCCTTTCGGTAAATCTGAACGCGTGAGTTTTTTTTAAATACAAATAGAACCTTGGTTGATTATGAATATACACACACACACACACATATATATATATGTGTGTGTGTGTGTGGTGTGTATATCTATATAATAATGGACTCTCCCGTCGGTTTGGACGTATGAGTATCTGGCAGCTTATTGATTCAGTTATGAAAGTTTGTGCGATAATCTTAAGTGGCATTTAAGACCCGCTAGTGACTTACAAAGGAGGCCACATATGGAGCAAGTGTGAGGATTGTGAGATGAGATCACTGTTAGATTGGCTGACCTTTTAGATCTTGCTCTCGCTTCTTGAAGATGATTCAGACAATATCTCTCTCTCTATATATATATATATATCTCTATATATATATATATATATATATATATATATATATATATATATATATATATTAAAATATATAAATTTTATATATTGTAGGCATTAAAAAACAATGATTAGATTTAAAATAGATTTAAAACGAAACACATACCAGGCGACTGGTTTCGTCCCTCTCATCAGAACTGTTAACGGGGAACTAAAATTATGAGGAAAAGAAAAAGACAAAGTCTGTCATGGATGACATGAATGAGTGGACAGGATGAAAAAAACACTATATATATATATATGCAAGTTTCGTTGAAAACGACTGATAAGGTGTGGTGGTTGATCTTTTTTTAAAACTATTTCTCATTTGTTTTTTCTTTACGGGACATAAGATATAGAAAAATTGTCCGAATCTTTTCCTACCGCTTCGGCTATACTTTTAGCCATTATCAAGGATGTACTGTATTTTATTTTTTAACTGAATATATGCATACATTCAGTTAAAAATAGAATAAAATTTATCGTTGCTTTAAACAAATCAATTGATTTAATTAATGATTTAAAATCAATTTGATTTAAATCGAGCAACCCTGCCTCCACTTCGAGAAAAAGAAAAACAGAAAACTCTTACAGGTGACTGAAGTCATGCTACTTTGACGAAGCACTGAAGTATTTTACGTCTTTCACTGAACGAGACAAAGTTTACTATTTAATCATCAAAGGCAACATCGGTTAACCTTGCTAAACAAACAGGAAGCGTTGTTCATCATTCTTTCCAAACCATTTTTTTTTTCACTAATCTCCAAGGTTTATAGTCTGGATTGGAAGCCATTGTTAGATAAATAAAAGGAATTCATTAAAGTTGGAACGAATGACAAATAAGTACCTTGTCTTATTTATTTTATAGAGAGAAAGAAATGACAATCAGAGAGAATGATAAAAGCGGATTTAATTGCTGCCCACAATGGCGACGGAAATGCATTTTTTATTGACGTCACCAGGTGAAAAAAGATAAACACGTAATTGGCGTTTATGATTGATAAAAAAAAGGTACGCATACAAACACATCAATCTTATTAACGGACCGTATTATTTACACTTATGATTGGTTTTGCGATTTCGAATTACAATGCAATCCATCGAAGAAAGTCAGGATGGAAGTGGAATGAAGAGCGAGAAATGGAAGAGACAAAAGAAAATTTGAAAGAAATGATTGAATCAGCATATGCATATATATATGCATACATTCAGTTAAAAATAGAAAACAGAGAGATAGAGAAGCTTTACTCAAATCATTTAATCAGGCGACTAAGCAGAGATATGAACAAAAAATATGGTCTCCTTAACCCTAGAACACTAACCATCAATTAAAGTTACACCACTACTAACCATATTAAATATTCTACATGCAGGCATTTCAAACTTTGTACTTTGAGTTAACATTAATAAGAACTGAAAAACATTATTTAGTTTAGAAAATCAGGTACTGAAAATTGTAATTAAAAATAGGAAAATTTGCGCTGGTTAGTGTTCTAGGGTTAATAAACACTGAAAAAAAGGGAGGAAAAACAGAGAGATAGAGAAGAAAGAAGGCGGGGGAAAGCGCGCGAGAGAGAAACAAGGAACAAGACAGAAGAAAGTGGGAGAGAGAGAGAAGACAGGAGACAGTGTGTGTGTGTGTGAGAGAGAGAGAGAGAGAGAGAGAGAGAACCGGAGACAGGAGAAAGTGAGAGAGAAAAGATAGGAGAAACCATGGGTATATGGTAAGTGAGAGAGAGAGAGAGAGAGAGAGAGAGGAGAGAAGACAGAGAGAGAGAGAGAGAGAGAGACGGGAGAAATTGAGAGAGAGAGAGAGAAGACAGGAGAAAGTGAGAGAGAGAGAGAGAAGACAGGAGGAGAAAGAAGACAGAAGAGAGAGAGAAGAACAGGAGAAAGTGAGAGAGAGAGAGAGAGAGAAGACAGGAAAGAAGGAGAAAATGAGAGAAGACAGGAAACGGGAGAAAATGAGAGAAGACAGGAAACGGGAGAAAATGAGAGAAGACAGGAAACGGGAGAAAATGAGAGAAGACAGGAAACGGGAGAAAATGAGAGAAGACAGAAACGGGAGAATGGAAAATGAGAGAAGACAGGAAACGGAGAGAAAAAGGTGATGGGAGAAAGAGAAACAAGGAAGAAGACGGGAGAAAGTGAGAGTGAGAGAGAAGAGAAAGGTGACGGGAGAAAGAGAGAGGAAAATAAGAAAGGAGACGAGAGAAAATGAAGAGAGAGTAGTGATTTGTAGAAAGAAGACTGGAAGGAGAGAAAGAGGAAAGAGAAAATATATATATATATATATATATATATATATATATATATATATAACGTAAAACGGTATAAATGATGTTGAAAAGAGATAAGGGAATGGGAGACTAGACGAAAGAGAGAGGTATGAGATGGAAGAAGACGAAAGAGGAAGAGAGGGACGGGAGAAAAGAAAACGAGAGAGAGGCGGGAAAAAAGAAGAGAGAAAGAGAGAGAGAGAGAGAGAGGCAGGAAAAAAGAAGAGAGAAAGAGGCAGGAGAAAAGAAGATGAGAGAGAGGCGAGAGAAAAAATAGACGAAAGAGAGAAAAAGAAACGAGAGGAAAACAGAGGACCAAAGAGACGGAGTGAGGCGGGATAAAAGAAATCCAAAAGAAAGAGAGAGAGAGAGAGAGAGAGAAGATCAAAGAAAGACAAAATGGGTGAGAAAAAAATGAAGAGAGAGAGAGAGGGTGGAGAGAAAAAAAACAAAGATAAAGAATGATAACCTTGGCTAGCAAAAACCCGTCTTAACTTCAAGTAAATATCAAATATCACTGGACATGCGAAATCCTATTTTAAGAAAAAGGGTTTCCTCAGAATAAACCTACATTTTAAATGCGTTTCACGTCAGGGCAAGTTTGGATAGCAAAGCAGTGACAGTCTTTTAACCGTAAAGTATTTTTCACTGAACTAAGTGCGAGTCAAATAGGCCACATATGTACATAAAAAGAAAACAAATCCGAAGTGGGACAAAGAATACAAACAAAACTGAAACATGATAGAAATTTCTGGGAGGGAGGGGTCGGGAAAATTATTTACCCTTATAAAATTACTAGTTAGAAGCTTCTTCGTTTTCAGCCTTTGTGAGGCACGGTGGAGTAATGGATAGCGGCTCGGATTGTGGAATCGGCGAACCGTGTTCGAATTCCATTCACTACACTTGGGAAAGGTATCTATCTATCTATAAAAGGCAGGATATGTGTGTAACGAATGCACGGCCGCAATTTTCGACGGATTTGCACCAAAATTTACATGCACGTGCTGCAAGTTAGCGGGAAGGCCAACACCGACATTGCATTTCCCAACTCCCATCGATAGTGGAAATAATCGATTTTTTTCCATGCTTCTACGGCACTTTTCATGTAGTTTGCAGCCATTTTCTACTGGACAGAGTGAGAGCCAATAGCTGGCTGCCACGAATAGACAGAAAGATTCTATTGACCAGCGTGAGAGCCAACAGCTGACCGACACGAATGTTAACTAGCATGCTAGCATGCAAAAAAAAAAAAAAAATCGATAGCTGCATTCGTCACAAGTGGGAAAAATTTGCATGGCACTTTACTCCAATTGGCTCATTCGCTTGCTTAAACTCAACGTTGATTCTGATTCCGCAGAACTGGGTTGGGTGTGAAAATGCAGTTGTTGTTAACATTCTTTTTTCATTCGGTTTTTCCAGTTATGAGTCCTGATCGTTTTGTGTTCATTTTGTTTAGTGCTTTTTTCGTAACAGATTTAATGTTTAGTATAGAGCTTAGAAAAAAATCGCAGTGTGAGATAGGCAAGAAGTAAGGCATGTAGCAACATCAGCACGGCAAAGGGCACTCCTTTAAAGGCAAGAAAGGGCAAAAATATTTTAAGTCAAGTGATAGCGATTGCTGTATGGGTCGTACGATTTTTTAATCAAGCACGGGCAACGCCGGGCCATGCTGCTAGTGAATCCTTTTTTTTATGGGTAAACAGACTGAATTCTATAACCTTGGGTGGCAACCGGTCCAAGAGAAGGAAAAAACCGAATTCAAAACCGGGCTCCGTCAGGCTGCAGTACACATGGATAAAAAAATGGTTTAAACTGTGACGATTAGTTATCACAATAAAACCTGAAAGAAACTAAAAAATTTAGTTACATTGTTCGGCTGTAAATGTCATCATTGTCATACACGATGTTTCGGCCAAGGAGGCATGGTATAAAAGCGTTGCTTGAAGTAATCTAGTGATTGGATCCAAATAGTTGGGGGTTCAGTACCTGGCCACAGCAGAGGTGAAAAATTCGAAGAGTTGAGATACTGAAAGGAAATAACTGGAAATTGTGATATCTAGAAAAAGCACGACACGTGAATCTAGAAGAAACAAGTGGAAGAAATAAAGGGTTCGATTCGTAATTCCAACGGAAACAACCTGAAGAAAAACACGTATAACGCCCGAAACGTCGTGAATATGACAATAAAGACGATGATGACAACAATCCAAACGGGATAAATAGTTACAATAACTCATCAGAAATATAGTGATTTTCCAAGCGTAGCTTAGGTGTGTCACAAGGCCGAAAGTATGAGGCACCCATTGTTTTGTTTGGGTGCTTACTTAATACATTATTGTGGGGATGTATAACTATGTTTTTGTACAGTTATAGCTTACCTTAATATTATTTATGTTGAAAATCTTTTTAGTGTTGGAGAATGACCAAAGTGTTTGTGAATTAAATTCAGGATAATTCTACTTACATTGGTTTTGACCAAATCTGCTACTCAGAGTTTTATGCAATGGCAATCCTCAGGCGGAACTGAGGATTGCCATTACATGAAACTGAGTAGCGGATTCGGTATTATTATGTCATATTTAGGCTCTGTCGATTTTGGCATTCATCCCTCAGTTTATTTTATATTCTAATCTTTTAGTTTATTTTAAGCTGTAGCTTTTATTCTTACTACAGGCTGCAATGGGTAAATTGACGCCATTTTAGCTTTTTGATTTCACGCATGCGCGTTGTTTGTTTTTTATTTTGTCGAAGGCACAATATAGTAGAGTTAGTTGGGAACCGCGACCACATCACCTCTTACACCTGGCCACGTAACTGCCCAAACTGCAACCCCTTTATTATTATGTGTAAGACGCAATCGAGAGACAAAAAAAAACTGCTTGTAACAGCAAAGATGAACTGAAGGTAAGGATTATGGCAGCATTCACCAACTTAAAAAAAAAAGAGACAGTCCAGAAGTGTTGCAGGAGATTCCGAAGTCGTCTGGAAGCCGTGGTTGAAGCCAATGGCGATTTTATTGAATAAATTAGTATTCCAAGATATTTTTGTGTAATACAGATCATGTTAAAATGAGATGTTAGCATTATTTTCATTTTTGCGTAATTTAGACGACAATTTATTCATTGCATCCTCTGTGTGTGTGTGTGTGTGAGTGAGTGAGTGAGTGAGTGAGTGAGAGATTCATAAATTTCTATATATCAGAATAATATTTGGCAACTGAATGACAAATTGGAAAGATTTTGAATAACTCGTTTCGTCCTCTGGAAAGATTTTAGCCCGATTAAGTCCTCGTCAGATACTTTGAGTTATCAAGCATCTTTTCAGCACCTTCTCACACATGAAGAGAATAAAACGAACATAATAAAAAATATTAGCCTCAGATTAATTAAATTTTGCGAGACACTCAAGAGTCAATGATAATGAAATAGTTTTAAAACTGAATAACTCGGATAATATCAGTAGCGGAAAGGACCGTACGAAATCCTTGAGGACACTGGCGCGTTTCAAAGGGGCTATTGACTGATAAGAGAGAAGGGAAACGCCAAGATAATGTTTCAAAAAAACCCCATGAGAAGCCCCTCCCGCTTTTTCCCCTCGTATTTTACAAGAACCTACACCAATGATTAATGGAAAATTAAACCGACTAAAGCTTCGCTTGAAAATACAGACGTCATTGCCAGCTGTCTTATTCGGGTCAGATTTGCTATTTTTAAAAAATATTTTCACAAAAAATATCCCTAAGATCAAGAATAACATTAAACGTAATAGATGATTTTCATATTCGTCTTCTATGTGCTGTGTCCCTTCAGGGGGTAGGCGATCATAGCTCTCCACAATCTCCTGTCCTTTTTAGCTGTTAATAAATGTTGTCTGTGTTATCTCTCCCAAAATGTCCCGCCATCTATCTACTCAAGCTCACTAAGTGGGTTATGCGTTGTTTTCTTCTGTCCCTCTTGCCTTCAATCTGTCCTGTGAGTATCAAATTTTTCAAGCCCTCTTTCCTCAATCTTCCTGATATTAAGTGTTTCCTTTTCGTTTCCATTTTCTCTAAAACTTCGTTGCTCACATGTTAGGCCCATAGTATTTTCATCAGCCTTCTGTAGAACTACATTTCTGTTTCTTTAAGTCTCTTCTTCATCTGCGCAGAAATTGTTCACTACCATATAGGAGGACTGATATTACATAAGAGTTCAGTACTCTTTTCTTTGTTTTTAACGAAAATTTTTTCTGTTTCTTAATACTTAACTTTGCTTTTGGAAGGCATTTTTTGCTACCCCAACGCACTTTCAGATTTCAGTGCCATTCTTTCTGTCCTTTGGTAAAACAATTTCCATATAGTTAAATTGTTGCACTTGTTTGATTTTGGCATCTCCAATTTGTAATTTGCATGTTAGAGTGTCCCTTTTACTAACAACTATACATCTCGTCTTTTTTTTTTTTGGTTAGTCTTTTCTTCTCGCTTTCTTTCACCACTTTGTCTAGAGAGTTCTTCTAGTTTCTTTTCTTCTCTCTGTTCGATATTAACACCACGTCATCTGCATATCTCATTAAGTATCTGGCTGCCAATAATGAATTCTGGTAGGACTTCTAATTATCTCAGAAGCGACTAACTGCACAGTTTGAATAAATCGGTTTGCTGCCAGTATATATCATGGTTACCTAGTAATTCCAACAGCTCTTTTTGAGGTACTTTGCCAAACGCTTTTGCATAATCTGTAAAACAGAGGTATACATTCTTCTACATATGTATTTCTCTTTCTGATATCAACCTGAGCAGAGCCGGTGCTAGGGTCTCTTGGCCGCACCCTCCGAATCTATGATACGGGAGCCTTTACTCTACTAATCTCACTTTTTATAAGATAGTATTCATATAAAGTACAAATTTTATTGTAACCTAATTGTGTATAATAATGGATCATATGTAATATAGGTGAACAATTCAATTAGAAAAACTGAAAATAAATACAATGTATCTAAATACAAATTAGAGACATGCCATAATAGATCATTCCATCTTAAATAAACAATAATGTTTTGCGGCAATTTTTAACATTAACTTGAGAAATTTTCTTGTTAAAAAGTCGAATAATTTTAACACATTGAACATTATGGATAAAAATTAGTGAAATTTTATATGTTTTCTCTAGACTTAGCATGGGCAAAACTTTAAAACAAATTCACAGATTTGGGCGAAGAAAATAAAAAATAAAACAAGCCCCAGAATGACGTCAACATCCGCGAGAAATTTTTCATATGACATTTTTATAAATATATGACATTTACATTTTTCATATTTTTCATTTTAATTTTTCATATGACATTTTTATAAATATATAACATTTACATTTTTCATATTTTACATTTTAATTTTTCATATGACATTTTTATAAATATATAACATTTACATTTTTCATATTTTGCATTTTAATTTTTAATAGTCATTTGTGCTTTAATATGTAATGTATATAAATGTAGGTAGAAAAAAAGCATATGGTGATAAGATAGATAGCGAGGGTTACAAAAACACTTCCCGGGGCTCCCAATAAGACTGCTCTCCCCGGTAGGAGGGTTCGATGAATAGTACATACCGGCCCTGATTCTGAACATAAATATCACATTCTGGGTGCTTCTATAATATTCGGTCTACCACGGTATCAGACACTACGGCATGCAGTCTACATCATTTACTACTATAGTCTTGAAGGGAATGAACTGTTAATCTTCAGTATACAAAGAACTGATACACCTCTATTAAATAGACTGTTTCAGTAGTAATATATGCATCTATTGTGTTAGTCTCAAAGGGGGGGTCTGTTTTCTATCAAGCATCAAGATGTCGAACTCTCTCCCTTTGGGTAGAGAGCAACCCAGATGAGGCTATGCCAAAGGGCAGTCTCGTCTGGAGAGGTTGACAAACCCGACCCCGTGTATGCGGAGTCTACAGGGACTACAGGGAATTTTTGCCCGTCCTACGGGCTCGGATCGACCCACATAAAAATCAGCCTTGTGCCACATCCTGCATCATGAAAAGGTCTAGTAAATATCGCTTGCTTTCCAGCAAGCATCACGACACCGGCAAGCATCTTCGGCAGAGAGGAACCTAGACAAAGCTATGCTGAAGGGTAGAGTCTCATCTTGGGAGGTTAACAAATCCGACCCCATGTATGCGGGGTCTACGGGGAATTTTTGCCCGAGCTTACGGGCTCGGGTCGCCCCACATAAATATCAGCTTTGTGCCACATCCTGCCTCGTTGGGGAGGTCGGGTAAATACCGGCTTGCTTTCAAGCTTCAGACGAACCTGTAAATATCTACTTGTATTGTTCTTGTTTAAAATAAACCCTTATACTTTTTAAGTTGCCGTTCTAGTTATTAATTTTCAATAATCATCACGGACAACATTACAAAATATAGTGTGCGGTCTAGCGCTGTATCCAACACTATTGCATCCGGTCTACCAGGGCTATTCAACACTATAGCATACAATATACAATATATTTAAATAGCAGGACAACAATATTTTCTTTAGAATCATAGATTTAGCATCTAACCATGATAGCTCGATTGCCCGAGTGTATACACCGGTTGCTGGGTCCACATAATGTCGTTGATGGTTCACTGTCAGGCGGTGGTAACTTATGGCATTTAGATTATTATAAGCAGGCCACTCATCTGAATGAATCACTGAACCTTTCGTTATGAATAATCAAGAGTAGTCTCCCCTTAATTTGTTACTCTCCTTTTTGAGAAAACTCTTTCTGTTTATTGGGACTATAAAAAGGACACTATACGCAAGCCTTGTATTAGTTGAATAAAGCTTTCTTAAAGCCTGCACCTGCGTACTTTTGTCATTACAACTTTTTCGCATTCTCTCTCAATAATTGGGATCAGTGTTGCCGTTACGTCGTTCCACCCAAATTTATAGAAGTGTTTTCATTTTAATCTGAAGGTGGCTATCCAGCTGATGTTAACGGTTTCAGACGCAGCGGGGTTTTGATGTGAGGGCTTCATTTCCTTCGTTTTATGTCGGCACGACACACGAGGGGTGAGGTGATGGTAGAATTCATCGTGGTAGAATGCAGGTGGATGGCACGAGAGGTGAGGTCACGATGTAATTCATAGCGCGGTAGACCGCATACTATGTGAGGTAGACTGCATGTTATAGTGCAGGGGGTCGGCAACCTGCGAGACGCGTGGCACGCCAAGATATTTCCAATGGCATGAAGCCGGAAATGACATCACAAAATCCCAACTAATAACTACTACAGCGCAAAGAAGATATTTAGCTGTTTCAATTTTAATATATACTAAAGTATATATACTATACAGGTATACCTCGGGTTACGCCGTTTCGAGTTAAGTCGTTCTCGATTATACGTCATTTGTCAAAAAAAATATATGGAAAAATAAAAATGAACCATTTTATTCGACTTTACAAATATTGAAGCCGTAATATCACTAGAAAAGCGTTAAAAGCACATAGAATCATGTTACTGTACAATAAATAAAAATAAAAGTATACAAAATCATTTTAAAATACGTACATTTACAGTAAATGTTAATATAATCATCATAAATCCTAGAGAACGAAATATGAAAACATCTGTGACTGTGGTGTCGTCTTATTTAGCGGTCTTTAAGAGCTCGATATTGGCGTATTCCACGGTAGGTGGATTGATAAGTTGAATCATCAGCGTGTTGCTATTAGTCAAAAAATCATTCAAGCAAAAGCGTTGTCTGTTTTTGAGGACCTGAACAAAAAAATACCCAGATGAGAAAGATGTAGAGTTTAAAGCGAGTCAAGGTTGGTTTATGAGATTTAAAGAACGTCGAAGTCATCACTATCAAGAAGCAAGGTGAAAGTGCATCAGCTGACGAACAAGCAGCAGCCAATTTTCCTAAAGCATTGGCTAAGATCATCGAAGAAAACGGGTTCCTTCCTGAACAGATTTTTAACGTTGACGAAACTGGATTATATTGGAAAAAATTGCCAGACCGTTCTTTCATTGCTAATGCTAAGCGTAAGGCTATATCGCTGATAAATTATTTTATTCAGAATACTGTAACGAATCATAAATACTGCAACAGGCAATGGGGAGTGCTTATTTGCGGTTTATAGTGTGGTTATTTCGACTTAAGTCATCTTTCGACCTAAGTTGTGACCTCTGGAACGAATTACCAACGTAGGGTGAGGTATACATGTATATTACTATATAAAATATATTGTAGAACATGTATATTGACCTTGACTTGTATAAAAACGTATGCTGTTGGTCCACTAAATGATTTTAAAACCCTAAGTCGGCACATAGCGAAAGATTGCCTACCCCTGCTCTAGTGTTTGATATAATGGTAGACCGCATACTATAGTAGCATCGTATGTTGTATCCCTGATTGACAGGGGGTCAAGGAACTTGAGATGTGTTCTTAAAAGAGGGCGTGTTCAAGAATGGTTGAAAAGGACTTGTTTTGTTTATTTTTAAAGAACTTTTTATTTATATTTTACACATAAAATGCTCATCTCTTAAAAGTTGTTAGATGATATTTGCGAACCTTTGCTCTAATGGTCGAGTCTGAAGACAAAATTACGATTAAAATTAAAGAAATTCATTCTTTCCCCTTCAGTTGCGAATATTGATTTTACTGCATAAATTCAACTTAAATGTATAGCTTGGCAAATTTGTTATAAGTTGTGGGCGTGGCAAATATACCCTTTCAAGTATTTAAACTAACAATTTCATGTTTTCCGAAATTTTACACTGGGGACCCCGTTAGAATTTGGAGAAAAATTCTATATCTTAAAAGTCCGTTAAATGGGAAATGTTTTTTTATTAAAAAAAACAAAAAGGCCTGCTTTCATGCGTAGTGAGATTTTTGTTCTGAAATTTAATTGACACTCGCTGTATATTAGGATAACAGGTTACATTTCAGTTAGCCACACGTGATACATTCTGTTATTCAACCCACAGCTGATAGAAGAGATGGATTCATACACTTCTCAAGAGTATTTGTGTGTAAGTGAATGTAACGAACCTGACTGGAATTCGACCACTACTCTCCGATTTCTCATCCCGATATTACACCACAACTTATATCCATGTTATATTTAGGGTGTTTTAAATAAATATACGATGCATCGCCTGTGTGCATTGGGTTTCAAATAAAGAGTCTACTATTCTCTAAATAGAGAATAACCAGCAGCATTTGCCATATTGTCACTACAGAGATGCGGTTTACAGTAGGATGCTGAGAATGCCCTGGAGCATGTGAGCAAATAGGAAGTTTTAAGGAAAATGGGAAAAAAAAGCACACACATACTTAGAATTAAAAGGTACAAGCATCAGAGATGTGGTTCTATAGGAGAAGGCTGGGAATACCATGGACGGAGCATGTGAGCAATGAGGAAGTTTTAAGGAAAATGGAAACAAAAGGATACTTATACGCAGAATCAGAAAGCTACAAGTATCAGTGATGTGGTTATACACGAAAAGGCTGAGGATATTATGGATGGAACATGTGAGCAAGTAGGAAGTTTTAAAGAAAAAGGAAACGAAAAGAATTCACATAAACAGAAGTAGAAAGGGACAAGCATCAGAGATGTGGTTCTATAGAAGAATACCATGGACGGAGCATGTGAGCAATGAGGAAGTTTTAAGCAAAAGGATACTTATACTTGGCAAGACGGCTCGGAGAATTTGACACCCACAAGAGATAAAAACATCGTGTAACCGACATAATGAGTTTATGCGAATGAATAACAGAAAAGTGGGTAGTAATAAAGGGGCAAACATTGCTAAAAGCTACAAAGGATAGGAAGTCCTAGAGAAATATGACCGTCCACGTCCTGAAGGGACACGTCAAATGAAACTTTTTCTTTTTTTTATTTCTTAGATGAAATATTATCAATTTTTTGACTAGTATTTCTTTCATGTTGATATTTTTAATAGTAAGTCCCAAGTCGTCATTCGTTGGCTGCCAGTAATCCACATGAACCGTGGAAAATATTACTGTGAATAATATTCGAGGGTGTTAAACAGTCTTCTCTAATCCTATAATCTTTACAATATGAAATCACATACTTGTAAAATTTCAAAAACACGAACTGCATTTATGTGAGAAAGCATGAAAGATAAGCCAAATCGGGTCAATTTGTTTTTCATATTTTTCCTTTTGTCAAAAACAAAACATATTCGGTTTCGTAAATTACCCTTTCACCTCCAGCTGTTTGTCACTAGGAGTTAAACTCAGCAGACGACAATTCGTTTCCTTTAGAAAAATAGCAACATCCCTTCAGTTTGACATTTCAATTCTGAAGGACGAACAAGCATAGTGAACGGAGAGAAGCAATGATTTTTTTTTTTTTAAACTGATAGTCCAGTCTCTCTGTCTGTCTGTCTCATATATATATATATATATATATATATATATGACAAGACAAAGTTACGCGCCCATCATGAATAGCTTTACTACTAGGTTGAGTCATAAGTAATTTTCATTTTGGGGAAACAATTGTAATGGCGAATGTATAGGGTGATCACAAAAAACGGGAACTTTTTAACAATCCAATAAAACCAAGAGTGATGGAAGAAAAATGTTTTATTCATAGTAATTGAAACCTTAAAACATGCCATTTAAGAAACAAATGATGGAATTTTCATTTTTTTAAAAATTACGTCCTGTAGATGGCGTCCTCCTGTACGAATGCATTCTTGAAATCTGCTGTTGAGATTCCTCATTGACTGCTGCAACATCTCAGCTGGGATACTGTGAATTTCATCTTGAATTCTAAATGGCGAAATGTTTACTTGCTCAAGGTCACTGTCTTGCAATGTTGCCACTTGTTCATGTCTGGCAATACGCACTTCAAAAATTCCCTTTTTTTTTGGGGGGGTCAACCTGTATCATGGTAACTACCAATCATACCTGGCAGATGAGAATAGATTTTGAGAATTTTGTTCAATTTTGCGATTTTTGTTTGTCATGATCAAAAGCAAATTTATAAAATTAACGAGTGAATCTTGCGCTGATTCGAACGTCCAACCTGAAGATGAGTAGGCAAATGCCATGTTCACTCTGCCTGCGTTCAGTTGCTGGAACACTATATTCAAATTAGCAGATACTCAGTTAGGCAGATTTCCCAGATACTATATCAATCCTAGACAGAGGGTAAAAAAGCAACACTAACCCAAACCAGATTTCACAGATACTACACCGATCCTAGACAGAGGGTAAAAAAAAGCAACACTACTCCAAGGTATATTGCACTGATTCTATACAGTGGGTCAAAGAAGTAATAACAATCCTAAACAGAGTGCACATTTACTACACTGATCGTAGACAGAGGGCCAAAAAAACAACAGCAGACCAAGGCCAATTGCACAGATACTACACTGATTCTAGACAAAAGTTCTGATCCATATCTAAATAACTGTGTCCTAAGATAATACACTTATAATTCTCCAAGTATATACAACCAGTAAAACAGCTATCATGGAGTCGTATTTAATATATCAGTCCTACGGTGCATTCCTAGTAAATTTGATCTTTACAAAATGCTTCCTATAGTCTTGTACCAGGAAACAGTAAGAGTAGTGAGCAGT